TTTATCCCTGTAAAAAATTTTAGCCTACATCCCCGGTCCTCGACACTTCCCCATCGTAGACTTGAATCCCTAAATTTTTTTAAATAAAATTTTGTTTTAGAAAAGCATTTATAAAGAAAAAATTAAAATGCAAGTAATATTTTAAATATAATTTGATATATATATAATATTAAAATATTATAAAATAACATAAATAATATTATATATTTAATATATATCGGGGTCGGGGCAGGGTGTGGACTTCACTCCTCATCCCCAATCAAGTATTCATATTAATTCCATCCCCACCCTATCCCCACTAAAGCAAATCTCCATCCCATCCCCGCCTGATCTGGAAGGTCGGGTACTTAGTGGGGATGGAGAAAAATGCCATCCCTACCCCTAGGTCTCTGTGTGTGTGTGTGTGTATAAGAAGGAAGTCTATGAATTTTCTCCTTTTTTTTATTTTTTTACTTTTTTTATTTCATGTCATTTTTTAAACAACCAATGAAATGTTCTCCTTCCCCATAAAAAAATTATCTAAAATCTCTCTCTCTCTCTCTCTCTCTCTCCCAACACACATGTTCCCAATAACCTAAATAATCTCCTCTCCTAAAATATCTCTTAAACTACATCCCCCACTATTTTCCCACTTTCTCCTAAATTATCTCTAATTCCTATTTATCTCCTAAATTATCTATAACTTAGTACAGAGTTTTTCTCCTAAACTATCTTTAATTCCTATTTATCCTCTCTCCGCCATTTTTTATCTATATCTATCTAAAGAAGATCGAATTAAAAAAATATTTAAATATTCTAATGAAATTATATAATAACTTTAAAATATTTATTAAAAAATAAAAAAAAATAATTCTAATAGATTTAATAACATTCATATTATTAACATTTTTTATATTTTTAGAAAATTCATCATGGAATTATGTACTAACAATATAAATTATATTTAAAATATAAAAAATATATATAATGGTCAAGTCATTCGATTTTGGTTGGTTTACAAATGGCCAAAACGAAACTAACCCAACTTGGTTGGGTTGGGAAATTATTAAACCAAAGTTGATTGGAAATACTAGAAAATTGACCAACTCGGGTCGAGTTGATCGGATTCATCAATTTGATGAACAACCCTAACTGAAATTAATTATTGTTATTTTTATATTGTAAAAAATATTAAAAGTAATATATAAAATATAAATAATTATTAATTATTTAAAAAGTTAAAAATATAAAACAATTATATACTCTTATGTGTTTCTATTATTTAACTTTTACTTAACAAATCACATGCATCACACATGTCCCCACTAGTAAATATATAATTTCTAAGGGTTCGGATGAGCTGAAGACAACATTTTACAACACGTTTGATCACCAACCGCGTTGTAACACGTATGCACCCATTTAATGTTTGAAATTAAGGGAAGAGAAGCTCCCCTCTCCATTATTTTGATTTTCTATTTCAAATTAATTAAAAAAAACAAAGAACTCCACTTCTCTTCCCCATTATTTTTTGCTTTCGTAAATAGAAAAACGAGGAGTTGAAGCTGGTGCTGGCTACCAACAATTGATTTCTACCAACCAACGGTTGACATCCGACATCGGATGAAAAGCAGAACATACATCTGAATCAATCCGGTTTGTCAACACCAAACCCTCTCATTTTTTTGGTCATAAATGTTTTTGAAGCTATCTAAAAAACGAAGAGTTGAAGCCGGCATCGGCGACCAACTGGACAATTGATGACTGGCATCCGACATCGAACATAAAGCAGCACCGATGCATGAATCCAACCCGGTTATCAATACCAAACCCTTTCATTTTCTGGTAAAAAATCTTTTTGAAGCTAGGTTATTGACAAATTCTGATCTGCTCCTCACAAAGCACCGACCTCACAGGCACATGCCACCATGCATTGGAACATTTCCCATAAATAATAATATATAAGTATGAGAGATGTTCCCGATGTATGGTAGGATGTATCTGTGAGGACGGTGTAAGGAGCAAATCCGGTCTTATTATTTACGGTGATTATGGGACAGGGTTCTTGTAGAAACTTGGTTTTTGTTCAAACTTAGGCCTGCAATCGCAAAACCTAATTGCTGTCTTAGAGAATAAAATCTGTACAGAGAAACCTAAATATGATTAAAAATTAAAATTTATTTAGAGAGCAAACCATTACAGAGAATCCTAAAAATTAAATCTGATTCAGAGAGCCAAGCCATTAGAAAATAAAATTGGATGTTGGTCGTCGGTTGTCGGAAGTCAATTGTCGGTCACCAATACCAACTTCAATTCTTCGTTTTTCTATTTATGAGGACAAAAGAAGTGGGGTTATTTGTTTTTTAATTAATTTAAAATAAAAAATAAAAGTAAAGGAGAGGCGAAATTCTCTTCCGTTAATTTCAAGGGGTTTTTATTCTTCAGTCCACCCCTAGAAATCTTAATTCCACCGTACCCTATTATAGTATATTTGTATTTTCTATTACTTTTTTTTTCTTTTTCTGACTTTTATTTATCTTTTCCTTTTCTTTGAGTGTTCCCAAGCATAATTTGGACTCATTTTCATTTTTTCTCCATGTAAAGGGATTATTGATCCGATTGATTGATATTATTTAAACTAGTTTGAGTGTTGCAATTCTTTGAAAGGAGTTGTTCATCTTTCAGTTTTAGATAGATTTTAAAATGTATTCTGGAGTTCTTCAGAGGTTAACTGGTATTTTTATAAATGAAAATTTCCAGTGGCCTCCCATAGCTTTTGACCATCAAGGCAGCTCCAATAAAATTGGGCATTTTGGTCAATTTATCATTGTAGGGGTATTACGATCAATTTGTTGATTGAAGGGTATTATGGTCAAGTTAATTTTTGTAGGGTCCACAATTATTATGAAAGCATTGATCTTCGATGTCACGTACTTTGATGGCCATTTAGGGTAAAATATTTATAATGGCTATTTTTGTTAAATATAGGGGCATTTTGTCCAATTCAATATTTAGCGGGCCCAATTGGCTCCATGTTGGTTGTTGTAGCTTGTATGTTGATTTTTTGTCAATTTGTTAATAGAGGGGTATTTTTTGTCAAATTAATTTTTTGTAGGATAAACAATTATGATAAGCATTGACAAATGGAAATGTTATTTATTTATTTTTGTTTTTATAATAAAACAGGAGATCCTGCACAAGACCGGGGTAGGGGAGGGGGGATAGCTTGACCGGTTGACCCCAAAAATAAAAAAGATTGGTGTATTGGTGGTAATCATTGCTTTATAACATTGTGCATAGTTTTGTGATGAAAAATATAGAATCATGTGGGCAATATTGATATTTAAGTGAAAGTAAGGAATTTTCTTACCAATGTTGCCATATGCATGATTCTCCTTTTTATAAATAAAGAGGATTGATAAATGATGTTTACCAAGTGTTACTACTAGACTTTTTAAAGAGAAAATTTTAAATTGGACTTTTTAAAACGTCTAATAAGCTACCTAACCTCAATGCCAAACACAGCCTAGGTTTCCTTCAACTCCACGCATTGATGCTTTGAAGTTTTGATCTAAGTTTGTGGTTGAGGGATTCATGCTTGTTGACACTAGGGGTGCTTATAAGAAACTGAAAAGTCAAACCAAATCAAGAAAAATTGAACAAAAAAATGTAGTTAATTGAGTCGATATATATATATATATATATATATATAATATTTTTAATATATCTCACATATTATCTATATATTATATATTTATTTATTTATAATATATGTTATAAATATAAAAAATAAAAAAACCAAGTTGGTCAACAACCGCAACTGGTCAACCGGTAGGACTAGTTTGGTTAACCAAACCGTGAGCACCCCTACTTGAGATTAGTCTCTATTAGAGGCAAATTGCCCTCCTTTTTTGGCATCTCAGAATTTTTTGTGCCACTTGCAAAGTTTAATCTGGTCTTAGTGTTTATATTTTTTCAGTTTTCTCCTTGATAGTATTTCCTAGATTTGTAATCTAAGCATTTAAAATGGAATTTTTACCTCATTGGATTAAAAAAAAAAAACAAAGCCTTCTTAATCCAATTTCCAATTCGGGCCTCTCTCTTGGGTACAGATCAGAAAAAAATAATTCATGCCATTAGAGGGTGTTCAGCTCTTCCAATTTGCTCCATAGAAACTCCACAAAGAATTATGGTGATTACCATCAACTAGGTTCTGAATTCAGAAAAATATATTTTTTAATTTATACCAGGATGTGCATCCAATATCGATGTAAAATTTGAGTCTATCTACAACTACGAGGTTGTTGAGACCCGTTTAAACATTGAAGTCCTGAATGAGTCTAATGTTCTGCGATCATCACTTCTGCTGTTGGGACAAGAAGCCTGTACATGAATGCTGACGAAAATGATTATTTGTCAGATGGGATATCCATAAGTAGGGGTGTTAATGGACCAGTTTTGGGTTAGACAACGTCCAAATCAAAATCAATTTCTACGGATTGGTTAGACCAATACACATTGAATTGGACCAGTCCAGACTTAATGGGAGCTGGTCCATCCATAATGGATTATGATTTATATTGGATCGGTTGACCCAATACAGGTGTCACTGGACCAGGTTTGGGTTGGAACCAATCTACATTGAAACCAATCAGGCACTGAATTGAACTAGTCCAAAAATGGTCCAGAGTATTCATCGGATTGGGTTAGACCTAATTCATCTGTAATGGACTCATTGGAGCAAATTGGGTTGGACCAAATCCGGCCCAATTGACACTCCTATCCATAAGACAATTCATGATGTCGATGGTTATTTATGATGTCTTTATACAGTGGGAATTAGACTAAGGCTGCATTTGGCATTCCTTATTTTAGGGACTTATATCCATTTTGCTATTAAAAATTCAGTGTTGATAGGGGCATTTTAACTGCAAAAAGGAGACAAGTCCTTAAAATAAGGAATGCCAAATGCAGCCTAAAGGTGTTTTAAGTCACAAATTCAAAACTCAAGAGGCAATTAATGGGACTTTGTAAACTATTAAGCAAATAAGCAGAAAGAAGGAAAACAACGTTTAATTGAAGCAGCCTATGGTAATTGTCCCAGCTCACATAACCACTAACAACGAGCATCCACAACCTTTTTTTTTCCATAAAAGTAGAACCTGGCTTCATTTATCCTTAAACCAATTGAACTACCAATCACTGGGTGTTAATAAAATTGTGTACATCAAAAATCATTTTGCCTGCACCTCAAGGAAACGATTTACCTACCTGGAGGAAATGCAGTAAGGAACACATCACAAAGCATTTACCATCCTCTTCATTTCAGCAGATCTCCTAGGATCAGGCTCTTCAATTGCTCTCTCAGTGAGCACATGCTTGATGCGACACATTGATTTCCTTACCTGTCAATTTGATAAGAATCGAAATAATTAACTATTACCAAAAATGAATTCCTGTAATGATGGTGGTTTACATGGCATCAAGGAGCAGCTCTATGGATAATCACTAAGAAACTCCAAGAAAGCCAAACTGAGTGACACAACATTTAATAAGGAATTTCAGTTAAATCTTCTGTGTGTTCACATGGTTTCTTGATCATTTAGGTCAAGAATACACGGCACTTCAAATAAAGACAACAAAGAATGTTCACTGTAAAATAGCATTATCACTAACATATGAAGATTATAACCTCTAAGCACTCCAACAGGGCAACAAATACATGGAAATCCAGTGACTGAGTTCTTCATCAACTGAGGGTCCTCAAGCAGTTCTTGACTGTTGGGTTATGGAAAGATGCATGAAATATTTGAGAAATGTTTTACTGAGAATAAGCTAATACGAAAAAGCAACCAATTACTTGTTTTCTAACCCAATAATTTCATGACTCCTACAGTTCTGCAGCTACAAATACTCTCACATCACAAATACAGAAACAGGAAATATGCATGAAATAATTGCAGAAGAGATTGTGCTGGTGTTTGAACCTTTTTTTATCGGTATTTGTTTTAACTTTGTTTTTTTAAATAGCCAGTTCTTTCAAAATATCCCAACATCCAGAACTTAATCCAGACAAAGAATCCAAAGATTAAACTGTCAAACATGACAACCAACCCAATCCTTAAAATATCTCATTTTCTGATTAGAAACTTAACAGCTGCAGCAGAATTCACTTAAGTTAGGACAGTGAAAAGAGGAAAACTAATCAATTTCCACATATTTTCTTTTCTTTCTTTTGTATACTGAAAATCTAAGAGCATTTTATTATCTTTAGGAGATATTCTCATATATTCATTCCTGTAACAGATAGAGGCATTTGTACTTGATGGATAGGACAATTTTCTTTTCTTTCATTATTTTCTTCTTTGCTAGGAAATTTCTAATGCCACTTGAATTCAAGAATGCAACCCATATTGTTTGTCTAATTTAGCAAAGAAAACTTAAGTTTGAGATAACATGAATCCCAGCCTCTCTGGTGATCTCAACATTGCACTCTGTTGAGTAGCACCGTAATATACACTGTAGGAGTATTACTGTCTTTTTACCAGCACTATATATTACAATGATATGGCCAATGGACTCGTTACATTGAACATATGCTCTTCCAATCACAAAGTGAGAAATACTTGAAGCTGCAACTTTAGGATCTGAACCATCTAATGACGACTTAAACATCAAAATTTCCATTGTGAAAACACGATCGGAGCCAAGTGAAAACTTAGGGTGAGGAGTATGCCAACACACACACACACACACACACACACACAGGAAGAGAACTTAAAAGTAATGTCATGGCTTATTAGCTCTGTGTAGCCATTGCTTAGAACTAATATTTCTCCCCATAACAAAAGCAATTTGAGATAAGGTTGCCCAAACATATTCCCTAGCCACCTTTATTATGGTTGGATGTTGTAATTAATGTAATGTGGCCTTCTGCTTTTTAGCAGAATTGGCTGCATGGAAGACTAAGGTATTTATCAAAACAGATGAAACTCATTGCAGTAAGAAGTGTGCTATCATCCCTTCCCCACATATTTCTTGTCTCCTCTTTCCTTTACTGACCAAAGTGATCAAACAATCGGAAGAGAAAATCAGGGGTTTCTTTTGGAAGGGATAGAAAGACGAGTTCAAATTTAATCTGATGAGTTGGAATAGAGTATGTGAACCCAAAAACCTCAAGTAGCTTGGGGGTGAGGCAACTACAAAGGGTAAATAAAACACTTCTTGGCAAATAGTTTAAACATCTCAACAAGGAAACAGGAAGTTTAAGGAGGCATGCTATCTTAGCTAAGTACAGTTCAAGAAACTTGGGATGGTATCCAGAAGAGGTTAATATTTCATATGGTTGCATAGTGTGAAGAAGCATTCAGAAATCATATGCCAACAATTCCTAAAAAGGCATCGGACACCAATTTGGTAATGGGTCAAGGGTCAGATCCAGAAAGACCCTTAGTAGGGTACCATCAACTAATAGAGGTTTTTCCCTCTTTGTATGCAATTGTACAGGATAAGAAAGCATGGAAGGCAGAATGCTTCAAGATGCACAATGAGGAGGTGGTGTGGAGTCCATAGTTCAGATGAAATGACTTGTTGGGACTTGGGAAGTTCAAACCTTGGCTGAGCCATTCAAAGCATACAGAGTGTAATATCTCATTCACCTGAAGAGGACAGAAGTGTGGCTGTGTAGGCATGGACCAGTTCTGGTCATCTGTTGCTTTCTCTATGAGGTCCTTCTTCAGCAATTTGAACCCAACAGTAGCAGGAAACTTTCCTAGTTCAAATATATGATGCTCAGGTGTGTCATACAAGGTGACTTTTCTGGCTTGGACTGCTGCATTGGGGAAGTTCTTTTTTTCGATAAGTCAATTTTATTAATCAATATCTAGAAAATTTTACAGGCATCCCATAGAGAGGCACAAGATGCTACTCCTCCTTATAGTAACAGTTCAATTATTACATTTGAGCCCAATACAAAATATTTCTATTCACCCCTTGTTTAGCTAGAGTATCCACCATCCCATTAGCTGATCTCTTCACCCATGTTTAAATTCATACTTCTAGTGAGCCACTTAAACTTGTTGTGAGGGGTGTTTTTCTAGGGTATTATTGGCACAGGGGACATCTTGTAATTTCATGCATTTCAGGGACCTCTCTGTAATTACATTTAGGGGTGAGCCAGAAAAACCAAAAAACCGAACTGAACTGAAAAACCAACCAAAATCAAACCGAAAATCTGGTTAACTGAACTAGTCGGTTTGGTTTCGGTTCGGTATTTTAAAAAACCAAAGGTACCGGTTAGGTTTTGGTTATCCAATATAGGAAACTGGCGGTTAACCGAATCAATCGGTATACATATGTTTCTATATATTTTATGAATATTATATTTTTTATATATATTTTATATTTTCTATATATTATAAATTAATAAATATGCATTATATATAAATATATCTATAATATATAATATTACTCATTATTTAAAATATAATATTTATATATTTCTAGTTTTTATTATATATTTATATTTTTTATAATATATATTGTAAATATAAAAAAACAACGAACCGAACCGATCAACCGGATGGCTTTGGTTCAGTTTCGTTTACAGGTTTTCCAGAAACCGATAATACCGATTTGGTTTCAAAAATAGGTCCATGGTTTGGTTAACCGAACCATGAGAACCCCTAATTATATTACTTTAAATATAAAGGGTACAGTGAGTGCTACCACTTACCCCGAGACAGTTTTTCTTCTTCAAGTACCGGTAATACCAGTTCGGTTTAAAAAATAGGCCCATGGTTCAGTTAACCGAACCATGAGAATCCCTAATTATATTATTTTAATTATATAAAGGGTACAGTGAGTGCTACCACTTAACCCAAGACAGTTTTTCTCCTTCAAGTTTCTGTTCTTTTCTCTTCTCTCTCTCTTGACTTCTTTCCTCTTTCCTAGGTTTAATTTGATAGACTCCTTGGTATCAGAGCAGAATATAGACCTGGTTTTCCTCTCTTTTTTCTCTTTTCTTCACTAAACTGTTCTAGAGCTTGAGGAAATGAATACAGAAGGGAGATCTGATCTGATTGCACCTCTCAGCCTTCCTTCTCTCTTCTCTTCCTTGGTTGTAAGACCAAGTTTTGCTGTTTCTGGATTGGTCTGAAGGGATCAAGCATGTAAGTGGACTCGATCAACCATACAAGGAAAGTTTTCTGCTGTGTTTAATTTGAATTGTGTTTGTGGGCCTTGTGGAAAGGCTGTTATAGTTGGAGAACATTACGCCAAAGTGACCAGAAGTTGTTTCCTACTGCAAGGGATATCTTCCAAGTGTTCAATCATATGTTTTCTGCTTGTCAAGTGAAAAACCGAGGGTTCTTCTCTCATTGGATCAGGTTGTGTGTGTAGTAATGATTTACAGTGATAGCATGTGCGGTACATATTTAATGCAACTTTAATTATTTATATAATACTTTCCCGTTCATTAATTTTTATGTTCATCATCTCTTTCCAACTGTAATTGTAGCCTCCTTCCACCCATAATGATGACAAAGGAGCTGCCTGGGTTTCCTCCACTGGTTGGGTCAAGAATGCCAATTCTGGCATCTCAGCATGCACTTTCATCCCATATATACCATCAAATATAGCAGATTTTCAGTAAAAAGGCACCAGCTACATACTCTCCTTCTTTCAGGTATACAGCTACTCTGTTTTCTGCTTTTTCCAAAAATGTGATGAACCTTACCTTTTTGTATCTCCACAGCATAAAATATATTATTTTTTAAAGATAAAAAAAAATTATTAACTAAGGAGAGAGAGAAGAATACAACCGGTGATAAGAAATCACCCAGAAACAGAAAAAACAACGGAGACACAATTCACACCTAACAAGCAAAACTTGAAACACTTCATACCAAACCAATCCCAAGCAAAACTTGAAACACCCCATGCCACACCCAAGCAACCAAAATTGATCACAACCAGACCCCGAACTTGACCCCCTGGCTCACTTTCCCAAAGTTTACTTTTGTAAGCTTACCCCGATGGTTCACTTCAATAGCTGTGTTGAAAAACCCTGAAAACCATATCATACACTCTCTTTTAGGTACAAATTTCCTCCACCAGCCTCCTTGATTTTTAGAATCAAATTGCAAGGGACAGAAACCTCCTTGAAAAGGAAAGTTTTCAATTTATTTGGAAAGCACTAGCAATATTTGGCTGCACTGTTGCAGGCTTGCAGCAGTGAATCCATGATGGATAGAGAAGGCATGGGGCCAATAAAAGCTAGAAGAGAGGGTTTAGGCAAAACAGTAAGTGATGGGATGGCAACAAGGGCTAGATGGTCAAACAGAGGCAGAGAAGAAGAGAAGGGATCAAGAATGGGACATAGAGGTTCTTGTGACAACTCACAACCAACTGTAAAGGCCAGGAACAAATGTGGCCGGCAACCTGAAGTTGTTCCAGTGGCTTCACAATGTGGAGTCTAAAAGATGTCTATAGGCTATAGCAACCACTTGGTATTAAATGCTATCTTTTATAAATGTATTGAATGCTAATTCTGCATTCGTTTTTCAGGGGAAAAAAACTTCCAGAGAACCCACTTATCTGTGCATCTGCATCATTATTTAGGGCCAATATCGAATTTAAAAAGTGATATGAAAAATGCTTTTTCATCAGATTAAAAATATAACCTTTTTATCGAGTAGGAAAAAAGAAACTTTTGATTAACATGGCCACTTACTCTATCCAAATGACAACCAAAGGAAGAGCAATATACCTTGGGAAGACGCTCTGGATTAGGAAACCGTARGTTTTGAGCATGAAGCATCTGGCGCTGAGTCATAAGCATGTTTTTCTCCTTCAATAGAACATACCATAGTTTGTGGAGATCATCCCAAGACTTAAGACGTAGTTCAGAAGCCTTCCAACTTCGACCTTAAGAGAGAAGTATCACAAATAAGGTCCATAGAAAATTTTCTAATTAGCAAGGACAACAAGAGAAATAGGGGTTGGGCCCCTATATTTTTTAATTTTCTTTTCTTTCTTATTTTTCTTCTCATGAAAATGTTGGTTTTCTATACTTCAACATGAAGTTTATGCTTTTCTTATGAAAATTATGGATAATTATTAAGGAAATATAGTTATGGGAACCTAGGGAACTACCCTAGGATATATGTTTTTTACTCAAAAAAATCCATCGCCTAGGCAGCTAGGTGACAAGGCACCCCCCTAGGATATATGTTTTTTATTGGTGTGTAAATTGGACCTAGAAAAGGCTTATGACTTAGTGGATTGGACTTTTCTTTTAAAGAAATACTAGAGAAAGTTGGTCTTGGAGCCGGATGGAGATTATGGATTAAAGGCTATATTAGCTTACTACACTACTCAATTCTAATCAATGGAGTTGCAAGGGATTTCTTCCTAGCCAAGAGAGGACTTGGCTTAGGCAAGGAGACCTTTTATCCCCTTTCCTCTTCACTTTACCTTTTCTCTAACAAAAGGGGGGGGGGGGGTTAAGTAGATTGATTGTAAAGGCAGACTTGTAAGGGTTGATTAGAGGATGGAAAATTGGAAAGAATGAAGTTATCGTCTCCCATCTCCAATTTGTTGATGATCCAATCTTGTTTTGTGAGGGAGATGACCCAGAGGTAATCAGGATCTTAAAGGATTTGATAGAGGGTTTCAAATGTGTAAAATTGAGGAAAAGTGGAGTAGTAGGAATTAACATGGAAGAAGGGAAAGTTCTTAGTGAAGTGCTGAATTTGGGTTGTGAGGTAAGGAACTAGCCTGCAGTCTACCTAGGAATGCCACTAGAAGGAACCCAAGATCAGATGTTTTCTGGAAGCAAGTGGTGGAGAGATTTGCAAAAAAAGTTAGCCTTATGGAAAAGGAATCTTTGGGAGGCAAAATAACTTTGATGAAAGCAACATTTGTGAATCTTCCTGTTTACTTCCTGTCTACCTTTCGTAGCTCAACTAGGATTGCAAGGAAATTAAACAATGCAAGAGATAGAAGCGATTGATGAAAAATGCGGGGAGTGGAAGGGGTGCAAAGGGCCAAAGAAGTTAAAGTTAAGAAACTGGTTATAGAAGGAGATTCTGCAGTGGTTGTGGATTGGCTGAAAGAAGACACTTCCAAGATGTGGAGCTACAGCAATGAGAAAAGAAAACTCAAGTGGTTGATTATGGAAGTCCTATGTACTTGGGTTAAAAGAAGTGCTAATTCCTTTGCTGATGGATTGGCTAGGCAAGGAGTTTTTAGAAATTCTGGGTTTTGGGCTCAATTGTAGGGTTCTAAGTGGTTAAATCAGATGTATCTCTATTCTGGGGAGTTAAGAATTTTTAGCTCCTCTTCCCTGTAACTTTTCTCCATTAATTAATGAATTCTGTGGTTAGTGATAAAAAAAAAATGAAAGATGCGGGGAGATCACCAAGGAGCCAGAAGGAGAGGTCTAGGGGGTGGTGGTTTCAGATAGGGGTCAAAAGTCTGTAGAGAAGTCTGAAGAATCCATGGGAACTCTAAATGCAGTTAGAAGATTCAGAACTCAACAGMAGATCCCAGTTTCTAAAGTTTTCACGAGGTTAAAAGGTGGTTTATTTGGTGTTGGGCCTAATAAGCTCATCAAAAAACCCAAAAGAATAGTCAAAAGACAACAAGAAGATCATACTCAAAAAACTGAGAAGAAGAGTTAAGGTGTTTTCGCTATGGGGTTGGGTGTTTTGCTTGGGTATTTTATGGGCAATGGGCTGGCTAGGATAAGCTGGGTTTCTGTTGTCATTTTTTTGTGTTGTCTTCTATTGCCACCTGTTTAGGGGTTTTCTCTAGTTGGGTTTAAATTTAGTTTGGTTTTGGTTCAGTTTGTTTGGGTTTGTTTATGCCTCCTCTAGGATTTCTCTTTGGGCTAGTCTTTCTCTCAGGTGATTGCTTATCACTTTGTATCTTCATTTTTATTTCAATAATTTTTTTCCTTAACATTTATCAAAATTTTTTTCCTTTATCTTCAAAAAACAAAGGATTGCAAGGCAATTAAAGAAATATATGAGGGATTTGCTGTGGAAATCAAGAGAGGAAAAGAAGGATCACCTAGTTAAATGGGAACAAGTTACCAAACCTAAGGAGAAAGCGGGACTAGGGATAGGGAACATTGTTCTTAGGAATACTGCATTACTAGGCAAATGGTTGCGGAGATTTATTTCCCTTTGAAAGAGATAGACTTTGGCACAAGGTAATTAAGAGCATTCATGGGCTGGAAAGAAATGGTTGGGATGCAAAGGTTTCATCACTTTCAACTTCACCTCCCCTTGGAAAGCTATTCATGAAGTATACCATCTTTTCTCAATTTCATCTGATTTGATGTGGGAAGGGGTGATAAGGTTTGCTTTTGGGAAGACCTTTGGCTAGAGGAATCTCCACTCCAAATACAGTTCCTCAAGATTTATGGCCTCTCAAACCTTAAAGGTGAAACTACCTGAAGATTAGGAACACCTACCCCCAAGGGGTAAATTGGGACCTAGGCTTCAGATGGTCTAAGAGAAAGTCAATATGCCTCTCTTATCCAATTGCTTGGTCTTTTGGAGACAGTGGTCTTGGATCAAAACTTTGAGGATACTAGGATTTGGCTAGCCTCTCCTGATAGTCTTTTCACCTGCTCCTCCTTTTTTAGAAACCTTACCTTGCCTATTCCTCAGACATTAACTTCCCAGTGAAAGAGATTTGGAGTAAGCCTATTCCTCCTAAGATTCAAGCTTTCTACTGGGAAAATTTCCTTGGAAAGATCWATACTTGTGATTTGCTGCAGAAAAGAAGGCCTAACTCTTGCCTTTCTCCTCATACGTGCTTCTTATGCAGGGATAGCGGAGAAAGTCTATCCCACCTATTAATCCCCTACTCTTTTGTGCTCTGTATCTGGGAATAGTTTTGTTTTCTCTTTGGTTTACAAGTGGGATCCTCAAGATGTAGTTGGTATCTTCAATTCTAACTTCTTTAGGAAACCGAAGAGAAGAGGGAGGATTTGGATAGTAGCAAAGGTAGAAATAGTCTATGTTGTTTGGGAAAGCGCAATGGAAGAACCTTTAAGAGGAAGAGTAGATCACTGGGGGAGATAATAGACAGCACAAAGATAAAGAATGCACATTGGGTGAAAACCTTGGAAAGCTTTCAGAACTTCTCTATAAATGAAATAATAAGAGCCTGGACTGAGGTGGCACAATCTTGTAGTGTAAAAGAAAGGATAAGGATGGTTTGGAAACCACCAGAAGGCAACAGGGTAAAACTAAACTTTGATGGAAGCTCTTTTGGAAACACAAGCATAGAAGGAATAGGAGGTGTATTCAGGGACTCCCAAAGCAGGATATTAGCATTATATTCAGGGCCTATCGGGGGAAAATTCTTTAAAAGCTGAATTGATGGCATTGCTGCAGGGTCTAAGATTAGCAAAACAATTGGGCTATAGACAGGTGGGGTGGAAGGGGACTCAAAGTTACTTATCTCCTAGGCAAGTTGCGATAAGCACATATCCTGGACTCTCAGACATGCATTTAGGGAAGTTTAAAGTATTGCAAAGGACCTTAATGTTGACTTCAAGTGGGTGAGAAGGACAGAAAATGGGATGGCTGATGCCCTTGCCAAACAAGGGGTTTTGAGGCAGCAACTCTTTTGGGCTACTATGTAATTCTGTTCTAGAGTTGGGTGGACAATCCTGTTAATTGAATGTATCAACTTCATTTATCATTTTAATAAAATTATTTTCTGCTGACTTCAAAAAAACTAAAAAAGAAAATAAAATTATTAAGAATGAAGAAAGAGAGGAGTACAATATTCTTTACACAATAAGATTCAATATTCTTCATAGAGGCACTATACCAAGTTACCAACCCTTGATGTGACACTTGGAAATATTCTAAGGAAAGAAACTAGACAAATTACTCCATTTTCACTTGATAATAAGAAATATTCTGGTATGGATGCAGCCTTCTTAGCCAATAAATCTAAAACTAAGGACTTTTTCTCGTGTCAATTTTATGAAGCAAAGGAACTTGGCCATTTGCATTACCCACACATCCCTCTAAAGAGTCTAATCAAAAGAAGGATCACCATCAAGCTTATCAAACATCCATAGAGAGTTCTGAAGACATCTTTAAATCAGTCTACTTCGGTCATGTCATTATTTGCTACTACTAAGGGAGAGACTCCAAGTGCCTTTTCTATCCTCTGTTATTTCCTTTGCATTTTCTGCTATTGGCTTATATGATGAGTCTTTGTGTTATTCTTCTTCTCCTAGTCATTTGTTGAGTATAAATTTCAATTCCACTAACCACATGACAAGGGAATATTCTCTGGTTAGTTTTCCAAACCTTCATCTCTTAACAAACACACTGTTGCAGCTAATGGTAAGTTGGTAACAAATTAGATATAGTTGGTTGTAATGATCTTTCCTTTATCTACTTTCTGAAACTCTCTTTCTCATCTTTCTAAGACCTTGTTTGTTCCTAATTTAACTTCCAATTTGATATTTGTTGGCCAACTTACTGAAAATGGTAACGTTGTTTCTTTTTCTCATGATGGCTGTTTGATCCAAGACTGGCACACTAAGAAGGTGAAAGGGAAGGGCTGTAGACTTCGGTGGTTGTTGTTTGCCTTGGAGTTTGAGATGAAATAGACTTCATCCACCTTCCTTGTAATTTTGYTTCTTTCACAGTGTATTTCTGTTAAGGTGTTGGTTTGTCAACTAGACAACCAGCATTTTGAAATGTACTGCTTTTTCACGTTTAATGAATTTTCTTTTTATCCTTCAAAAAAAAATAGACTTCATCCACCTCCTTTCCTTGTTTGCTTAATACTATTTCTATTTTTGAAATTGTTGATATCAATAATGTTGGGCATCCTTTTGCCAAGGGCTAGCTGATGACTTGGACTTAGATGATCGAGCCATGTAACAGCCACACAAGTTGTTGGGAGGTTTAAAATTCTCATTCTATAGGAGACATGTATCACATTATTAATTAGTGGGGAAAATGGGCTAGAGTCCTTAGATAAATGGACCCTTGATAAGATAAGTGAGAGGTTATCTCTCATTAAATGTTTTTTGATGTGACGACTTTTGCTCTCTCTCCCACACACTCTCATTTTGAAAAATGGATATATTCTCTCTCCTCTTCTCTCAGTTAGAAAAAAGGTCTCTCTCAAACAGCACCATCTGTGCTTTTGCACTCTTGAAGTGTGAATGGAAAAGTAGCACTTTGTGTGTTGTGGAGGCTCGTAAAGCAAGCATGTGGATCAAGGTTCTTCTTTTACTTCTTCAAGGCTTCATAGAGGAGGCTATTCCATCTACTTGCCTTTCTATCACCAAGAAATTGGATTTTCCAACAAGACTGATATTGGTAGCAAGGAGCAAAATTCCTTAAGGACTTCATTGATAATTAAGTCCACATATATCTAAGTCTGGACCAAAAGAATGGCATAATGTAAACATGAGGACCACAATAGTATTGAGTATTACTAAATTTGCACTTAACATTCACAAATGATACGAGAAAATCAAAACTAACATGACTGGAAATGCAATAAACAGAGATAGAAAAAGGATATTTACCATAAACAACAGGTTGATCATCATCCTGACTTCTATCTGCCTCAAAGAATTCCTGCAAAGGGTTATGTACCATCCTAGCAGAAGCAGCAGCGGCAGCAGTAGCAGCAGAAGCTTCAGACTTGGCAGCAGCAAACAGTGTCCTCCCAAAAACCCTTGTCATAAACATGGTGATGACCAGATTCCTGCAGCAACTCTTTCAGACCCATGCAAGTTTTCAAATTTGAATTATCTTCTTTAAATAAAGCACAGAACAAACAGTGAAGGAATATTCAAAGTGCATAAAACTTAATGAAAAATTATCCCGACTAAAAGAAAAAGAGGCAGAAAAGGAACTTCAAATTGAATAAATGTGCTATTTAGCATCTCAAACAAAAAACCATCCTTCTATAAGCCTTGCACTGTAATAGATTAAATTCAGGTCAGAACCCTGACGTAAGCACATTTATGAGTAAATTACCAACACAAGAATTAAAGGTTTTAAACAGTTAAAATATCCATATAGGCCTACCCTCTATCGATTCCGCAATTTGAAGCACCATTTTCACAACATTGAATCATGGTTTGCTAATTTTATTACATGCCAAATCCAATAATCATCAAACAAGTAAAGAAAACAATATTTTTTTGAATAGTCGGGACACAGCATTTTTTCATCAATACTTTCTCTGCAACTATTTCGTAATCTGATAGAAGACAATCCATGATAAGTTACTGAAATATGTATTTGATTAAATGCCCAAACAGAGGAAAAATATACAAAGGACAAAATTTTGAGTATTGGGAAAAAAGAAGCACATGGTTCTCTGCAGAGTTAACACAAATGAGTTGTATACGTGAGAGACAATCAGTCTAAAAAGATAGTAGCTACTGCTTCAAAAGAGCTGTACAGAGAATGAGAGAAAGAGAGGAAGATGACGATCCTTATTCCTTACCTCCTCGGAATCGCTAATCGCTTGTTGAGCAGATGAGTAGAGTGGTCGGAGCGAAGGCAAAATAAAAAATAAAGGGGAAGACTCAGGTCTGGGCCATTTGGAACAGTAAATGGGTTAGATGTTTGGGCGTTGGTGCCTGGACGGAGGTCTGGAGAGGAGTGGAGAACGAACAAAAGAGACAAGAGGAATCGACTAGCGCGTGCAATATACGCTCACCAAACGACAAGCAAAGCATGGGCAAATGAGCGATGGAGGTAGGGTTTCATTGCCCGCCCCGAAGCCCGAGCTAGCATTTTTTTGGGGAAAATGCCAGATTAGAACGTATACTTTAAGGGTAGTGTGAAGTTGATACCCGAATTTTAAATTGTGTTACTGCATTACCTAAACTTTCAATAACATCCAAGTTAGTCCAAAATTGTTAACAGACGTTTATATGACAAAAATACCATTCATCTCTCATCTAATTTTCTTATGATTCGTATTGAATCTCTAACCACTTCCTCAATTTCAACAACTTTGTAGTAGTCTATAGGACGTTTTACTTCCTGTCCTACATCACCTAAAGTCCTTGGAAGCTTCTTCACAATTCACATACAACAAGCAAAAGATGGAATTTTGTTCCAGCTAGTGCATATTTATTGGTTACAACAGTTCTCATAAAGGATATGGGTATTATGATCCTAAATCTGGAAAAACCTGTGTCACTCGATAGGGGTGTAAATGGATCATGATCCGATCCGATCCGATCCTATTTGGTCGAATTCTGATCACCCTTGGTCAGATCATATGATCCAATCGGAAATCGGATCAACCCCCTATTTGGTCCGAGAAGATCCGATCCAATGTGTTATATATTTATAAATATAAATATATATAATACATACATATATATATATATATGTGATTTTTATTTATATATTGTTTATATTATATTTTTATAAATTTGTTATATTATTTATTTTTTATAAAAGTGTATAAATATGATGAAATAATTAAAAAATACTTTTATTTTTTGTTTTTTCTTTATTTAAATTGGTATATTTTTTTTTCTTTTAATAATTTATTAACTTTTAAAGAAAACAATTCGGATCAAATCAGATCCGAAGATTCGATAGGATTCGAATTCAGATCGAGTCCTATCAGATCCGAACGGATTGGATCCGATATAAACAGTGTCGAATCGAATTCGAATATACCCTTATTCGAATCCGGTAGCCATGTTGTGTTCAATGAGCAATTATTTCCAGGTATTTTCTCTTCCTTGCCAACAGTTTCTTCTCAATCTGATGGAGTACTCCTACAACCAGTTGCCGAACCACCACTTCTATCACAAGCTCAGGTTGCTCCATCCACCACTACTTCTGACCCGTCGTCACCTCAAAATGGGTCTTCCTTCTCACAATTTCTTGCTGATACAAGCTTGCAACCACTTTCTGAACACTGTTCTTATTATCATTCTGCTCTTATGTGCACTCGCCTTGTACTAGAATTGCTCAATAACACTCCTGTACTTGATGCACCACCGGCTCGGTCTCACTCAATGGTGACACATTTTATGGTGGCTCAACATTCCAAGACTGCTCTTATTACTAAGCATCCTCTTGCGTACACTTCGTCGGTTGCAACTGCACCGCTTGAGGTTGAACCCTCCAGCTACTCTTAGGCTGCACTCTGATTGGCCTGAAGCCATGTCTCATGAATTTCAGGCTCCTATACAAAATTGTACATGGTTTCCAAAACTGGATCAGACCGGATGGTCGGACCGGAAAAACCGGTAACCGGTCAGCCATCCAGGTCCGGTTTTACTAGAAACCAGAAAATTGAAAAGAAAATGTTGAAAAGTCAAAAAAACCGCTAAACCATTAGACCCGGGCAGCAGTTTGCGGGTTAATATTTTTATGTTTAATATTTTAAATAAAAACAAAAAATAAAATGCCAATTATATCCCACGATTTTTGAATCCCAATCCCAGTCCCTTATTCGGTTTAGCCTTTAGGRTTCCCGAGTTCCCTCCTCACTCAGTCACTCCTCAGTTCTCTCAACTCTCAAGTCTCAACCCTCACACCCTACCACCTGCGGCGGCCATCAACTCTGGCATCCGACGGCGACCGGTGAACTTGAAGCAGCAAAAAGAGTCACCCAAGCACTTGCAACGGCGGATTGCCCAAGCCCACCGGTGGMAAATCCCTGAAGGTATAATTTTTTCTGATTTTTTGAATTCTTTGGACCTACTAGAATGGTATAATTTGTTGTCATTAACCCTCTATATATATGCTTGTTTAGTAAGCATGAATTAATTTTTCTAGAGATTTTTTTCTTTGGTAGGATTTGTAGAGACAACTTGAGATTGAAAGAAAATGACTCTAAAGGGGTCACTTAATTCCTTAATCCTTATTTTTACTGATTGATGAGGGAGCTCTTGATTCAAGTGAATCAATCAATTAACTGATTAAGATTTGCCCCTTCACTGTGCCTTGATTAATTCTTATTTTTGGAAAATTTTCTATATTTTTTGGAATTTTTTTTGTATTTTTTGCATTTTATTATTTTTATATTTAGATATTTTTATTTTTTTCATATGTTGTTCTTTTTCCTATATTTTTCTGTGCATTTTTTGTATTTTATTTAAATTTCTATGGTATTTTTTTGTTATTTATTTATTTATTTATAATGTCACGGGTCGAACTGCTCGACCTAGACAGTTGAACCACCAAACCATGGTACCTCATGATCCTTCTATGAACATAGTAAGCTCTAAGTGGGTGTATAGGGTCAAAAGGAGGGCTGACGGATCAATTAGTTGCTATAAAGCCTAGTTAGTGACTCAAGGATTTCTCAGATACCTTTAGTCGTGTTGCCAAACTAGCAACCATTCGGATTGCTCCATCTCTAACAGTTACCCATGGCTGGGACCTTTGCAAAATGGATGTTGACAATGCCTTTTTAAATGGTGTCTTCACAGAAAATATTTGCATAAAACAACCATAGGTATTTGAGGATGTCAATCGCCCCACTCATGTATGCAAGCTTGTTAAAGCTCTCTATGGTCTTCGTCAAGCACCTTGTGCATGGTTTTCTCGCCTTAGTGCCAAGTTACATGACCTCAGGTTTCGTGCTTCTTAGTGTGATCCCTCCCTCTTTATTTACCACCAAGGTTCTGATCATGCTTATCTCTTGATCTACGTGGATGATATTATCCTCATTGGTTCGTATGCATCCTTGGTCTCCTCTCTTATCCAGGCTCTCTCTCAAACCTTCAAAAAGAAGGACCTTGGGCCCTTGCATTATTTTATAGGTATCGAGGTGCATCGAAACTCTTCGGGGCTGTACCTCTCTCAACGATGTTACATCTCTGATATTCTATATCATGTTGGTGTGGAGGGGGTCAAGCCTCTTAGCATGCCCATGGTGGCCTCTATGAAGCTTTCTAAAATGAATGATACACCACTCTCAGACCCATCTCAACATCAAAGCATTGTTAATGCACTTCAATATATCACTATCACTTGATATTACATTTGTAGTAAATAAAGTGTGTCAATTTCTTCATTGGACAACAATTAAACAGTCTTTGTTACTTCAAGCACACCATTGATTGGGCTGGTTGCTCCAATGGCAGACACTCCACTAGTGGTTATTGCATTTTCTTGGCTCTCATTTGCTTAGTTGTCTGTARTAGTACTGAAGCTGAGTTCAAATCCCTTGCCAATACTGCTACTAAGGTACTTTGGCTTCACTCATTATTGTGTGATCTACGTATTTCCTTACCTTCCCCTCCCATCATTCACCGTGACAACGTGGGTGCTACATATCTTACTACTCACCCCATCTTTCCTTCTCACACCTGTCACATAAAGGTGTGGACTTCCATTACTCAAGAAAGCCTTGGTGATTTATATATATGCCTACTGAAGATCAGATCGCTGGCTTTTTTACTAAACCATTACTCTTTCACGGTTTACATCTTTGACTAGCAAGCTTCATGTGATGTCCATGCCCATTCGCTTGAAGGGGCGTGTTAAGGATAAGGATACCATATCAGAAGATTGCAAGCCATTGACCCAAGTTTCCTAGTTTATCTTTAATTAGTTGTTTCCATTTTTGTATTTAACTCTCTTGGTAGAGTCCTAATACAATTGTACTAATTCCAAGTCTATAAATACTACAAGGTTCTGAGTGGAACAAATCATTGCTTGACTCTTGTTTCTAAACACACAGAGAGAGAGAGGGAGAGAGAATTTTCTTTTCCAAACCCAAGGTGTTGATTATAATGAAGGGAAAAAATTATAAAAGTAATTAATCTGACCAACAATTGATTTTGAGCTGAAAATGGAGCATTGCTTTATAACTTGATCTAAACCTGGAGATCAATGCAACACCTCAAAACGAGTTTTTGGAAAGTAGTACTCGTGGAAATTTTTTTTTTTTTCTAATTGAAAAGATATGTTAGTATGAAATTGTGAAATATTCCCCACAATGTGACAAGTTGTAGAAGTTCAAATTAAAATGAGGTTATGATTACTAATTCTTAAATAAAAATTTATTCAGATATTTTACATGGGAAATTTGTTTTACTACGTGACAACTCATATTTCAGTATTTTAATTTTAAATTAATCTAAAGAGAGAGTGACAAGGGTTTTTGGACTCAAAATTGCCCCATTAATTAATATGGGATGGTGAAAGTCAAAAATCCAATTAGTTGAAGGCATGTGATTGAGGACAAACATCAAACACATATTATAAACCAAGTTTGTTAAGACACACATCACTTGTTCCAACTCAAATTCGTTGAATGCATACATCATACACTTCTATTACAATCTAAATCCAATCAATAATCACATTAAAACACTTATTGGTGTAGGGTCTACTCTTTAGGATTTTAGGGCGTAAGGTGTAGGTTTAGGGTTTAAGCATAGGTTTAGTATGCTAGGGTGTAAGGTGGGGAGAACACGATGGGATGGACCGTGCCAGGCTTGGATTTCTAGGCCCATGCGTCGACATGACCAAGCAAGTCGTGCCACCCGTGGCCTGTGTATCGCCACGACCCATATATGTAGTTATATATATTTTATATATATAAAGTTTTATTTTCAATTTTATTATACTATTTCATTTTATTATTGAATATATAAATAATTATATACATCAAAATTCATATAAAATAAAATTTTAAGTTTTTTTTCATAATTTTGTTAATTTATTTTAAATTTTTTATTTTTTTTTTAAATTATACCTCTCATGGCTTGGCCCAATCTGCGGCATGACATGACA